TTTTCTTTCTTTTTAGACAAACACAAGCGCACGCACACACACACACACACTGTAATAAAATGCAAGTTTATCTAAGCATAATTACGCCCCGCCCCCCCCTCCTTTTAAACTGACATTTTCTTCTTTTTTTATTGTTGTCTGTAGCCATAATTCACTGATATAGCAGATTAAGGCTTTCTTTTGCAGTTGCTTAAATTAATCATTAGTTAAAATAAAGACAATGCATTTTGCACTAAAAGAACATACTTTTAGCCACCAAAAATACCAAACTGTGTTGACATTAAAAAAAAAAAATTTTAAAAATAAAATCCGATTTAAATTTTTAAAATCTGATTTTTAAATTTAAAAAATTGATTTTTAAAATTTTTATTAAAAAAAAAAAAAATCACCAACCCTGGACAAAACTCGCCTCCCTCTCTCACTCCGCTGAGTGCACGAGGCGACTAAAATCGCCAACGGGCGGGCCTGCTCTCGAGCGCGGGAGGCGACTATTGTCGATTAGGGGGAAAACAAGGAGATTAAAAGTAATTTGACCAAATAGCGTCACCTTTTGTTGCTACAGTATTAATTTATTAGTTCTATAATGGAAAATTTTACTCTTGAATGGTTTAACCAATCAAAATTAAGAAAAAAATAAGCCTAGGGTCAAGGCACTACGTTCCTTAAAAATAATCGTGGGTTCTGCTAGGGATAACAACTAAACATGTTTTTTTGTGTTGTAAACAAATACCAATTCCAACATTACAATGACAAACTACAAGAGTATTACTAACATTATTTCATTAAACAGCTTTCAGTTAAAAGGCTATTATTTTTCAAAACATACTACTCTGGCAAGTGAATTCCTTTCTGAATTTATAATATATTAACACTTGTCTAGGGTTTCGGTGAAGATATGCGTGCATACTCTCAACTCGAGATTTTAAAAAATGAAACAATAACAATCCCCGCGGGAACCTAGAAAAATCGGCCAGCGCTCTGGGGAACTCTCTTACAATTCACAAATTATTTTCTATCATCGTTCTCAACACCCAGGTAGACCAAAAAATCTACTGCATTCTCAGACCGGGTGAGAATAATATTCATTTTATTCTCACCCAGGGTGAGAATACCTTGATATATAATATTCTCACCCCGCGAGAGAATAAAATGGATATTCGGGTGAGAATAAAATTATATTTCTATTTTCACCCCGGGTGGGAATAACCGACAGCCATTCAGAACACGGAGTTGCAAATAGCGCCTGCCCTGGTAATTGTTTACTTTTTCGCGTTTAATTCTGGGGAGGACTTCCGTAACGAGCGACCACTCTGAACTCTATCATGAAATATTACACTCATTGGCCATAAAAACCAGTAAGGACGGTAGGCCTATTTAACTATTAAGCCAGTATGTTAGCTAACCCTGGAAGCGCGCAGGCCCTCTATACAAAGGGTGTGAGCCGGGCTACCCGGGAAGCGCGCACCTACTTCGACCGGGAAGCACGCAGGCCCTATATAAAGGGCATAGACGCTGACCCTTTTCAATGGAAAATTCCAGTATTCCTTATATGGAAAATGACGTAGTCAATTGCAGGCCAAAGTTATAAATAGTGACCAATGACTTTGCAAGTTATCTTGACCCCGTAGAGCGTCTCTTGGCCGAGATATCGATCAATAAAGTGACGCGGTCCCGCTGAGTGACTACACGCTATGTGTTATAACACTTGTTTCGCCGTGCTGATGTACTAATTGTTGAGTCTATCGCGTTCTGGGCTTTGTTTGTATTTATTTGATTGCTGATCATTTTTGAATGGCTCATTCTATCAGCTTAAAGAAAATATATGCTTTTACCATCTGTTGAGCCGTAAATGGCCATTTTTCAGTAGCAAGTATCTCAGCGTATTCCCCCCCGCCAAACCCCCACGTTTAAAACTGATTGGCCGTGGCGGCGGGGCATTTTTGGCGGGTTACTTCTGGTAAAACGCTGGCACTTATCCAGGGTTAAGTAGATTTCTACCTAAAATGATGAAATTGCGTGGTCAACGTATTCGAAGTGACTATTCGGACTCGAGTCCGAATATGAAAAAATGTTTTTCGGACTCTTGATTCTTGTCCAGCATAACATCACATCCGACTTCCTGTGACTTGTGACTCCGGCTTCCTGTCCTGCCTCACTCGTGACTCGCATCAGGCTGGGTAGAGACCGGGATCACTTCGGGCAAAAATGGCGTTAAATTGTGCCGGAGCCGAGTTTTTATTTTGTGAAGAATTTGAGGCCGGCCTGAAAAGTTAAAGCGCTTCTAATAAATGTTTATTTGTCAAGAGGTTTATCAGAAGCAATTAAAGATGGCCCATCAGCGTGTGTCGGGGTCCGACGGGCGGCCTGCACACGTGTGGCTGTGTGCGCGTGTCGGGGAAGGGAGGAGGAGGCGCTATCGGTCCGGGCGTTGAACGTCGCATACGTGCCAGACCCCCCCCCCAACTGATCATTATTACAATAATAAGCTAGTCTTGACGTAGATCTACGTAATGAATTGTGCGCTGGTCTATGGAATCAAAAGTTGCCGTATGCTCGGCTCTACACAGCAACACAACTTTTTCTTGGTAAACAATCGAGATGACACAGGCTTGTGTATTTGAACGAAGGCCACCTCTATTCTCACCCCGGGTGAGAATAGCGCAGGCGAGTCTTTTGGCTATTCTCACCCGGTAGGCGTTCACCGTTAAGTATAGTCTCGGCCAACCAGTTAAGCGTTCACCCTGAACCACAGAATTCTACACTCTCTCTCTTTAGCTATGATCTCTATCTTATAAAACGATCTATTACTACTGTTAGTGTTAGCCTAAAAGCATGCAATTTTGTCTGTGGGCAGTGGAGAGAGAGAAAGAGAGAGAGAGAGAGAAGTAGCGCAAGAACTTCAGGGCAAAATAAAATGGCGACCCGCGTTGTTCGGCTCGATTCGGAGAGTTAAACAGCCGTAGCATCTTTGTAGACGACCAAATTAATTTACTTTTGTGTTTTAACATCATTTTTAAACTTCGTTTTGGTCAATTTGATCGTCCGCACCGATAGACAGTATTAAGAGAGAGAGAGAGAGGGGGGAGGAGTAGATCTTGCGAGAACTTCCGGGCAAAACAAAATGGCAACCCGCGTAGTTCGGCTTGATTCAAAAAGTGAAATAGCCATAGAATCTTTGAAGACGATCAAATTAGCTTACTTTAGTGCTATAACGTAATTTTTTCTTGGCTTTTATTTGAGTTTTATCAATTTGATCATCCACACTGATAGAAAGTATTCCAAAATCATTCAAAATTAGGAAAAACAGGTCTTGTTTCACACCGGTGAAAATAGCCTACGCTGGCAAGTCTCACCCGGGGTGAGAGGTAGATCGGATCGGCAGACAAGGTGTGGGGGAAACTAAAAAAAAATTGGAAGCACTGAACGTTAGATCTATAGAATGAAGACACTTCCTGGTAAGATTGAAGAATAGCGGACCAGCGGACTGACTTTGCCTATGTCTCAACCTTAGGAATTTATGATTTTCCCGTTTTTAATATCTCTCAATGGAGAATCTCGGACCGGTAGATCTATTCAAAATTTTGTCAGGGGGGAGACCCCCCTGAACCCCCCCTCCTCCGCCCCACTTTCTCGCGCAATAATGTACGAGTGGTCCGGTATTCTTCAATCTTCCCCACTTCCTTTTTTCTGGACCCGTGTCCGAATAACATTTTTTCATATTCGTATGAAATTTTTTTATTCGGACTTGAGTCCGAATATGAAAAAAAGTTTTATTCGGATTTGAGTTCGAATAATGACGGCCTTACGTATTAATAGTATTATTAACTCCAGCGCAAAGTTATTTTGAATCAGTGGGAGATGCATAGAGTTTCGGCCAGGAAAGTGGCTATTCTCACCCGCCCGGAAGTTCTCGCAAGATCAACTCCTCCCCTCTTCTCTCTCTCTCTTTCTGAATACTGTCTATCGGTGTGGACGATCAAATTGACCAAAACAAAGTTAAAAAATGATGTTAAAACACAAAAGTAAATTAATTTGGTTGTCTACAAAGATGCTACGGCTATTTAACTTTTCGAATCGAGCCGAACTACGCGGGTCGCCATTTTGTTTTGCCCGGAAATTCTCGCGCTACTCCTCTCTCTCTTTCTCTCTCTCTCTCCACTGCCCACAGACAAAATTGTACGCTTTTAGTAGGCTACAGTTGTAATGGAACGTTTGTTCACGGCACAGAAATCTACAATTTTTCTGTTATCACAGTGTAGAATTCTGTGGTTTAGGGTGAACGCAAAATTTGGTGAACGCGCACCGGGTGAGAATAGCCACAAGACTCGCCTGCACTATTCTCACTCCGGGTGAGAATAGAGGTGGCCTTCGGCTAGATCTAGATCTATTCTATATATCTAGATTCTAGATCTAGATCTAAGCGAGGCCGGAATTAAACGCGAAAAAGTAAACAATGGATTGCCCCTGCCCTTTCTTTTGTTTGTACAAACTCACCTCACAATGTCAATGCTCAATTGAAATTGGTACAAGACAGCAAAGTCACAAGAAAAGTGGCAACTCCATTGCATGCTACACGAGAAGTAGTTTCCTAATCAACTTTTTTTCCTCAGAAATTGGGAGGTCCTGTCCTTGTGGCTTCTCACTTCTCGGTATATTCGTAACATCGACAAGCCGAAAAAAAAATACTGAATTAATTGGGACTTCGGTGGGTTAGGCTAGGGTTACCTCGCTTGGGTCGCTTGCTTCTTCTTTTTTTTATCTCTTGCACAGAAGAGTTTTGTTTATTGCCAAGTTGGCGTTAACAAATTGTCATTTTTTTTCTTGGCTTCATATGCTGCTTGTCTTCAAATCTACAACAGTCATTTTCTTATAAAGAAAAGATTTATTAAATTATTTTAGATCTAAAACTTTGTGCAAAATTCGATCAAACTGACATAAGTTTTCATTTGAATTTTAAGTCTCTGTTTCATTGGTGATCAAAAGAGGTTAACCTCTTTGGCTGTGTTCACTAACTGCGATAAAAATGCAAAAAATAGGCGAGGCCAAGGGAGAACGAGAGACTAAATTTTACAAATCTTACCACTTTGGAAATCCCAAGTTCCACACAGTTCATTGCACAATACTTTCTTTGTATAAAATGATGAGGCAATGAAATAAGATCACAAAGTCCAGCTTTCTGTTCTACATGTACACAGCAGGCGGTGAAAAAAGCAGTCCCCTCGTTCTTGGATCAAAATTTATATAAATTATGGAATCACACACATTAAGGGGCTTGCCAGTGTCAGTACATTGGTCGCAGCAGTGACAAACGCAGATGCCAGTTCTATGTGTCGTTATCAATAACCCTCCGTAGATCTAGATCTAGACAGCACAGGAGTGAACACAACACATTACGTTTAAAAGCAGCACCTTTCATAGGCAACACGTCATATCTATAGCGAAAAACTGTTTGGAATTGTAGCATTTCTTTATATAAATATTTACGGCGGACATTTTTTGGACCGATTGAACCATATTGTATACGAACAATCTTTGGTAGGCCCATACTATAATTATAGATCTCTATATAATATCCGAAATTTGGGGGAAAGGATGATATTTCAGAGTGTTCGGAGAAATAGTGCCCAGCTTTATTTTCCTGAACGTTTGAAGAAATAGTGCCCAGCTTTATTTTCCCGAACGTTCGGAGAAATAGTGCCGGCTTATTTTTTAACATCAAATTTTAATTATATTTTCGAAGTGATTATTTCTCCGAACGTTCGGGAAAATAAAGTTGAACTCTATTTCTCAGAGAACGGTTTCCAATCTCGAGATTTTTGGGCGAGATTTAGGCGTCATCCTTTCATTCTGCCATTCTGGGTGGACTGGGAATCTAAGAAGCATTATTTTGCATGGAATTCAATTTCTAGAGCTAGAGATTTTTAAATGTCTGAATATTCAGATACTTCAGTTGTGGTTAACGTTCCCGATATTTCATTTGAAAATACCTTCAAAAGGTTACTGCGAGAAAACAAGACTGCTTAACCTAGGCAGTAACCTATTTCACATTTAGTCTCCCAGCAAAAACTAAAATCCTTCATGTAAAAGGTTGGGACCCTCACACACACGGCACACACACACGGGCCACTCCATTCGCTTATTATCAACAAGAAATCTTGGAAACGGCAACCGTTCGTAGAAATAGAGTTCAAGTTTATTTTCCCGAACGTTCGGAGAAATAGAGCTGGCCTTATATTTTTCCATGACTCAAGTTAACTTTGTAGTAGATCTAGATCTAGATCTACATATCTGATCTAGATCTAGATCTATAGTACTATTTTGTTGTTGTTGTTGCTTTACTTTGGTAATTGTCTTATGGCGCTTGCAACAATAGAAGGTCATATGAGGCGTGCGTAGTAACTGTTTAGAGGTAATGATAATGTGAACAAAATACAGTGGTGTCCACAATCTAGGCTTGTGTATGTAACACCAGTGTAATGAAATTCATATTATGTTAGGTGGGTATAATTTAAGCAAGTGGCTATTCAGTCAATTGATGGCTATTGTCCTGCGTCACGTATAGTTGCACGTGTCGCTTCTCCACAGCTTTCCATTTCCCCTTTCGGCACATTAAGGCCTTGCACACAAACACTCACCAGGGTCAGCATTTCTTCAAAATGCGATTCACCATATAGTGGACTCGCAGCCACTACTCAATGAAAGCTCTAGTGACGGAAGGAGGAGGAATTTCGGTGTCAGAGGTGACAGCACCAACAACTGTCAGTCACAACCAGATGTACAAGAAAGCACATCTGGCGCTAAACTCAGTTGCAACAGTTCACTAATAGCCATAAAACGTGCTGACAGGGGAGATGGAAAGCTGAGGAGAAGGGACATATATGCATGTGCAACTGTACATGACGCCGGAGAGTAGACATCAATCTATTGACCGCCGCGATGCCGGAGAATAGCCACTTGCATAATTTGATTATAAATTTAAATTATTATGGTATTCTTTTACTTTCACTACCGTCTCATGCTCAGGTTTTGTAAATAGCCCTTTGCTTTTTAATTTTTATCCGTTTTACGTTTATATCCTTCCGAAATTAATAGTTTTTCAATTGAAATATTTGATTGTTTTCATTAGAACTATTGGTAATTAAACTATAGGCCTATTACCACAATGCCGATTTGCTTAGTGGCACTTTGGACCAATCTGGGGGTTTCGGGGGGGGGGGGGGGGGGTAAACAAAAATCGAGGGGATGGTTGGGGCCCCAATTTTCATCCATAATTTGATGATTTGCAATTAAATTAAGTTTGAAATTTTTTTGAAAACCATTAATTTGATATGTGACAGTTTTAGTAGCCATTTGTGTGATCTTCAGCTATAATTATTGCCGTTTGACCCCTAAAGCAGTGCATCTGTGTGGGGGAGTGAAAGTAAAAATTTACCAAGATTGTATGTTGTGTATATTTCAGGCGAATATGGGAGGCTCCAACTCCAAAGGGCAAGTGTTGTCGAAAACACCCCCACAGCCGCAGTATGAGCCTCCATATCATGGGCCGTCAGCTGAATACTGTTTTATCAACACGAACGTAACAATGTCCGCACAAGTCAGTTTCGGGTTCATGTCAAACTCTATGGTGACAAGCAACGTAGATGCTTACTATCCTGTCCTAGCCCAGCCTTATGCCCAAGGTTTCAGGCTGCTTTCTTTTTACCATATCCCTGGTCAGGTAAGTTTCAATGATCAGATGATGCGATATAGCGGAAAACTTTAGCAATTGCAAACAAAGAATGGGAATTTGGAGTATGTCTTGTCCCTCGAAAGTCTGGAGGGATACCGTATATAAAAACAAAAATGCCTATACTAACACAGTTGATAACTTTCATTATCATAATCATCATCATTGTCGTCATCATTTTCTTTATTTTCATTATCATCATCATCATCATCATCATTATTGTTTTGAAAGCAGAGTAGGGGGAAGAGTCTTGCTTGATTTTCATACAAAATAATATAAAAATATAAAATGTTTACAATTTGTTTTATTGAAACAGCTCAACATTTGGCCTCTAGGGCTTCCTGATGAAGCAACTGAGAGTAAAACTAAATGGGCGCTTAATAATAGCAGGGAAATGGGCCTTACAAAGAGGGTCTTAAAGTTACATGTAGTTACCTGACTAGACGGAGTGACTCAGTGCCAACCAGGCCAAGGGGCCAATTAAAAAGAAAACATAATCATCATCATTATCACATCAATTTCATCATCTTTGCTGTGACAAGATCATTATAGTACAGTTTAACATGCTCCAACTACCATCTGTCCAAGACAATCACCTGTACAAACGACCACTTCCTGCTTTTTATCCCTTGCATTGCTCAATATTATAATGCCACTGTCCAAGAGGACCACTTATTTTAAAAGACTGAGATGCCAAGCATTCCGATAGATCGAAAGCCTTAGATTTTTTTTTTTTGGCCTATGGAAGAACCCTGATCTGATTTGCATAGAATCTGATTTTTTTCTTGAATTCTGTTTCCACCGGTAGTATGGAACTTATAGTAATTGATGTGAAAATTCACTTCTTTTTTTTTGCATGTACAGTCGAACCTGCCTTAACGGAAACCTGTATAAAATGGAAACCTGTCTTAACGGAATTTCCCTGCTTCCCCCTTGATATATTCCTCTTTAATTACCTGTATAAAACGGAAACTTGTCCAACGCGGAAACGGAAAGAAAAATTCTCTCCCTTCCGAGGGTTTCACCTGTCTAAGACGGAAAATGCTTTGCCTGCTCAGCCCTGATTTGCAACAAAACTCGTAAGTTTGGTTCTGTCGGCTCTAAACTTAACACCATGGTCATGCCGCTGGGCGAGGAAGGGGAGTAGGGGTGCAATTTGGGTGTAGATGTTACCCCATCATGTGAGCCCTGAGCGATGCAGATGGTCAGGGTAGTGTGGGTGTGAAATCTCACGACTTCCCGTGAGAGTGCTTGAGTAGCGAGCCTCTTTGGAAACCTTCTTTGGTAGCCAGAAGCCAGAGGTGTGAAATTAGATTGACTAATGCCTGCCGAGAAAAGAGTTCCTCGAATCGTTGTTACATGATGGCAGTGAGGGGTGGCATTGATTGACTGTGCTTGTTACACCGGTGGGTGGGGCTAAGGGTGGAAGCAAAGGAGATGTTCAAACGTTTCCGTTTTTAATAGGTCAAACAGTGGTCCTATAAAAGACAAGCACTGGTGGTAAGACTGACGTATGTCACTATCAGACAGGATAGCAATTGAGAGGTGTGAAGTTTTGACCACTGCTTGCCGATTGGACAAGTGAATCTTGGTCCCACCAGCTGGGCCTTTGAACCCCCCCCCCCCCCACCCCCCAATCTCCCCCTAAATTCCCCTGTCTAAGACGGAGTTTTTTTCTGGCTCCCTTGTGATTCCGTCTTACACAGGTTCGACTGTATGTGCAATACACATTTACTTGCTGTAATCGATTCGTAACCAATCTATTGGGGTTCTGGAGACTGATTTTTTTTACCCCAAACTCGGATTTTTAGGGAGGATTCAGAGGAAAACTACTACTTTTGGTCATGGAGGGGTTGACAGGTCTGTTAAGATGACAAGTTAATCCTGGACAAAGAGTGGTTGGCTTGGACAAGTTTGACTGTACAGTGGAACCTGTGTAAGACGGAATCGCAAGGGAGCCAGAAAAAAATTTAGCCTTAGACAGGGGAATTTAGGGGGGATGGAAAGGGTGGGGGTTAATGGTGTTAAGTTTAGAGTAGGCAGAACCAAACTTGCAAGTTTTGTTTCAGATCAGTGCCGAGCGGGCAAAACATTTTCTTTCTTTCTCTCGGAAGGGAGCGGATTTTTGTTTCCGTTTCGGTGTTGGACAGGTTTCCGTTTTATACAGGTAATGAAAGAGGAATATATCAAGGGGGGAGCGGAGAGATTCCGTTAAGACATGTTTCCGTTTTATACAGGTTTCCGTTAAGGCAGGTGGGACTGTATTTTTACAAACATTATTTTTCATTCTATGTGCTTCTCCAGATTCGTAGAAAATTTCTGTTATATTCATAGTTTTTGTTGTTGTATGCAAATTTTTGTAGAGGTGAGGCACTTGCAGCTCCAGTTTGATTAGGTATAGGTTTGTGAAAGTATATTTTGTGGACATATTTTTCCGAAAGATTGCTCTGCCATAATTATCAAGGTCATTGTCTGGTGACACATGAACAGTTTTGTCTGAACCATACATGGTTTTCACTGAGATGTACATCCATGTATTTCTTTCATGCACTCCAGAAGAATCCTGTTGAATATTTTTCCTGGTATTGATGGCAGTGAAACTTTTCCACAAGAATTCGGATCTCCCTTCTTCTGGAGCTTAATAAGGTGGTCTTCTTTTAAGTCATAGGGAAATTCTTCTGTAGTCCAAATCTTTTAAAAAAGCTGGTGCATGATTTCTACTGATGTGCATACTTATCATCTTTTACTTTTAGTGCCTTGGGCAGTAAGTAGTCAGGTCCTGCTGTCTTTTCTTTTACTTTTTCCATTGCTTCAAGGTTTTCTTTCTCAGTTGGAGAGTCACAATTTATTTCTTTCAGCTGGGGTATAACCAATGGGTGATTAGGGGTTGGTCTGTCAAAAGGTTCCTGGCGGTGTTATCAATCTGTACAGGGGAATGCAGGAGAAGAAGAAAAAGATTGTCTATTTCCTTTGAATTTGACCATTTTTGTATTGCACATACAAGCAAAAAAAAACATCAGTGGAAACAAAATTCAAGAAAAAAATCAGATTCTATGCAAATCAGATCAGGGTTCATCCATAGGCCCGAAAAAATATTCCTTGACCATTTTTCCATTGTGCTCTCATTCCAAATAGGTTCAAAGAACTGGGGGCCTTTTCAGCAGGGATGTGATGATGCCTTTTCAAGGAATTTACTGCCGCTATCCATCGGCACCCTCAAATCAGGGGTATCAGCTGAAAATTGAGAAGTCTGTCATCCAGCCGCAAATCGTGTGGAATGGTTTCATCACGACGCGTTCTGACGTTGTGACAGATATCCAGCATCTCTTCCAGACCATCGCCAACAACACACAAAATGGTGGCAGGCTCATCTGCATAGAGCTTACAGGGCAGGAGCAAGTCCAAGCCAGTTTTTCAATGAACCAAAGAATGCCAAGTAATTAATGTAGATCTTCCTGCAGGCTCAGAAACAAAAGGTTCCGTGTATTAGCTGTAAAAATAATGTTAAAGAGAATAATTATTATAATACAGTGATACATAGCGTTTGTATAGCACAAATTCCCGCTCAATTGCAAGCTGTATACATTGCACAATCTCTATTAACCCCCCACAGATCTGATAGCATTTTGAAATAATCTCAACTTTCTTGGAAACATACAGTGTAAGCGCCATTTTTCGGTGCTCAAACATTCACATGCTGACAAAATCTTTTGCTGTCCATTGTCACGTAAATGAAGTGAGGAAAATTTGTGTAAAGTGCCTTGCCCATGAAGTATCCGGCCGAGCTGAGCCTCGAACCCCTGAACCTGTAACTTCAGGACTACAAGTCTGATATAGCCTAATGATAATATAATTATAATATATATATATTTGAAATAATGGCGAGAAGAATAATAGCAACCATGGTTTGCCTTCTATTTCCACTCTATTGATGCTTTACATTTAATTTTGCATGAATATACAGGCTTATTCATTAGAGTAAAATACTCCCTCCCTCTCTTTCTCTCTCTCTATTCTTTCTCTCTCTCTAT